AATGCTATCCTGACTAGTTCTTACTCTGAGGCAATGAGCCCCTGTCCTTGTATCCCTCCATTAGAGTTTAGGGTGAGTCGGCTCATGAAGGAGAACACCAACCAGAGTCATCTGAGTGAGATAGATTCCCCTGTCCAGACTGCTGGAGGCATCTGAGTCTCATGATCAAGCCATGTTATCAGCAGAAGGAGCTGAAGATTTCCAACACTTCTTAAACTTACCCCCAGTTTAAGAAGTATTGAAGGGGTCATGAGTGGAAAAAGTTTAAGAAGCCTGTAATCTAGCCAATTTCCTCATTAAATATCCACCCATCAGGATTGATTTTCAGTTGTTAAGAGAATTCCCCTTTCAAGGATTATTTAAAGCTTTCAGGCTCTCCATGTCTTTTGTCTTTGGTTGCGGAGAGAAGCCACTGGCCATCAATTTATTGATTATTAGCCAGTTTAATTAAAAATCGATTATAATATACCCAGAAACTCTGTCTCTTGGGTTTTTGATTTGTCACATAATGAAAGGCAGCATGATGCCTTAGGAAGACCACTTGATTAGGAATAAGATGACCTCAGTTCGAATCCCTGCTTTGTAACTACCTTCATGACCTTGGGTCCTAGGTCTTAGTTTCCTCATCAGCCAAATGGGGCAGCTGAACTAGATGACTTCTGAGATCTCTTCCAGCTCGAAATCTATGATTCTATTTTCATAAACAGAGTAGGTTAGAACTAGAAGGATCATTTTGTCCCAGGCCATCACTTTTCACATAAAGAAACTGAGCTTCAGATAGGGGAAGAGGTGAAGACATTGGCCCAAGGGCACACAGCTAGTTACTGGAAAATCTGGGACTGAAGTGCAGGCCTCCTTTTCCAACACATTTGTCACAATAAAATATATCCCAATCAACCTGCTTTTCTTGAGCATTTATGAAATATACTGTATCTGTCCTTGCTACTTGTGCTTAAAAACAGTGCTTTGGGGTTTCTAGAAGACTCAGTAATATAATACCACCATTGAAAGGGTAATTCATATTGCAGACCTCTAAGTTTACTCCTAAAGAATAATTTACACACTAAGATCATTGGGTTGATTTTGTATATGGAGTATGAACATGTGACACGTCCTTTTGAAATTGTCATTTTTGCATTTACATGTCACTGATGAATGTCACTGATAATTTTTAAAAGTATAATCTTTCCATAAATTAGATTTGAGTAAAATAGAATCATTAAACATTTCTATTAGTGTATTTATTAAGTGTGCCTGGAAAATAGTGGTGGAACAAATCAGAATTCTGTAGTAATTCATTCAATAGTATTCCAGAACTCCATTGGCTCTAAGGTTTCATTAATGGAGGTATTCCTTCCAGTGAGACAGAATTCAGCCCACTTCGCCTTGTCCCCAGGCCTCACCCAGTGCTCTGCACACAGTAGATATCTGATTTAATAAAGCATTCACTGAATGAAAACTGAAGGAAGGCTCCCAGCATATTGGATGGACCCTATGTGATGACAAGCTTGTTGGACTCTAAGGACAAGAGGTGAACAGGATGGGCAAGGCATAAGTGGGAGAGAGAGAAAAATTTAAGTAAAACACAGTTCTTGCCATTATGGAGTTTGTTGTTTTAGTTCAGTTGTTTCAGTCATGTCTGTCTCTTCATGACCCCACTTGAGATTTTCTTGTCAAAGATACTGGAGTGGTTTGCCATTTCCTTCTACAGTTCATTTTACAGACGAGGAAACTGAGGCAAACAGGATTAAGTGATTTACCTAGGGTCACACAACTAGTATTGTCTGAGGCCAGATTTGAATTCAGGAAGAGAAGTCTTCTTGACTCCAGTCCCAGTGCTGTATCCACTTTGCCACCTACTATCCACTCATGGAGTTTATAATCTGGTAAAGGGAGAAGACACAAACACAGAAAATCATTAAACAAAATAATACCTGTTCAATGGACTAGAGAGATGTGAAGCAAGTTATGGGAGAAGAAAAAGAGGTCATCATCAATCATTGATCTCTGCCTGTCACCCCTGGGTCTTATTTCAGAAAAAACAAAACTGCTGTTAGCTAGTATGTGGTCCTTACACTAAGAACAGGATTTTCTTACACACATTTATTTTATCCTCAGCAATGACATCTTTGTGGCATATGTAATATTGACTGATTAAACTTGTTTAAATAATTATTTTGAAGGAAGAAACATCTCATAATGCTTTCCCCTTGAAGGTTACCTTCCATCCTGATCACTGAAACCTAGCAGGATATTTTGACGTTTATAAGCTAGCTTTTTTTTTTATGGACCATGCCTTAAACCCAAATCACTCTGGCTCTCATTGATTGACTAACAATAGGTCCCAGCCCAAGCCTTACTGGGTCATTCTTTGGGTTCTGATGGTTCAGAGTGAGTGTAAATAGCAATTGCTTCTGTTTTGGCCAGAAACCCTGAAGGTGTTCCCTTCCCAGATTGATTATTTTTTTTGGACTAGATCAAAGAGGCCATTCTTTGCCTCATTTTTACCTAACCTTAATCACTGAATGGGTATTGCCTCAGACAAACTGAAACCTGGGAAAAACTTTAGCTTAAAAAGGCCAAGGTCTCTCACTGCATCCAGGGCCATCTCCAGTCATACTGATCTATATATTGCCACTGGATCCACATGGCTGTGGAGGAGAAAGTGAGGCTGGTGACTTTGCATAGACCTGCCTCACTAAAATCCAATTCACTTGAAAGTCATGACATCACCTTGCTGATGTCATGGTCCTCTTTGGGAACGAAGGACAAACAACAACAACCTTCCATCTACTCTGTATGAACCTTGTATATACCTATATATGTATGTGTTGTCTCTCCCATTAGAATGTAAGCTCCCTGAGGACAGGGACTATTTTTCCTTTTTCTTTGTACTCCTAGAGCTTAGCACTATGCTTGGCACATAGTAAGTACTTATAAATAATTATCGATTGATTGACAATACTAATTATTAATTATAACTGATACAGGCAATCAAACTATAAACAATTGTTGAATACCCACTGTGGGCAAAACACTACCTTAGGTATTGTGGGAGATACAAAAAATTAAGTCGATATGGTCTCTGCCCTCAAGGGACTTACAATCCATCAAGTTGTCCTAGCAGAACTCAGGTGGTCGATCGGAAAATACATATATAGGAACCATTCCTATCCAACAATAAAATAAACTACCTTGTTAATAACAATAGCTGGCATTTATATAGCACTTTAAAGTTTGCAAGGTACTTTACATACAATGTGTATATTCTCAGAGTAATAATTGTCAAGTATGTATGACAAGTCTTATTTATTTTGCCCATTTTACAGATGAGGAAAGAGAGGGTCAGTATGGTTAAGTCATGTGCTTGTATTTCAGAGATGGGATTTGAAGCAAGGTCTGGCCTGACTGTATTCCAGCACCCTATTTTTCTCATTACCCGGCCTCTCTGCTAAACTCCCCTTCTATCTGTCTACTAGAGACAGAGTAGAAGAGATTTGTTTTTACTTTGGGTAGGAGAGTGAAAGAAGTGCTTTACAAGCTACGTGTTTATGCTTTTAGCTCACAAATCGTAAAATGTTACCTTGTGATGTGATGTGATCTATAGCATTGTTTTTGCTATGCCATAAGAAGCATTTCCAGTAGTTTCTGCAGAATTCATTTTCTTTAAAGGTCTTTGGCTCTAATGAGACATAGCTTCATTCTTCCCACTTTGTTAGTCATGCCTCTTCATTGACACTTTAAAAGATATGTAATTTCATCAATGGAGTGGAAATTCCTTCTACTGACTCAGGCTTCAACTTCTGATCATGAGCTTTTCCACAGTGGTTCAGCAAATGGTAGAGAAACAGCAGTCCATCATCAGGCTTATATTCAATTTTTTTTTCAACTTTGCAGCAGCCGTTAAAACTTTTGCATCTCTGGTATCTCTAGTATAGCTTATAATGCCTCAGAGTCACTCTCAATCCACAATACGGCATTGAAATGCTATTGTTTTTTTAATCCCACAATTTTCTGAATTCATTATTTTACATGTTTATATATAATTTCATGCTTTATCTTTGGATGGCATTTATTATAATCCAGTTTTATACAAAAATTAAGAGAATTATCCAAGAAAATGTTCCATTAAGGTAATTATTCATCAGTTAACCTTAATACAAATCCTTGCTCTTCTGTTCTGTTCTGCTCAGTTCCTTCATCTGTAAAAATGGTGGTTGGATAACATGTCATCTAAGGCCCCTTCCTTCTCTACATTTATAATCCCACTGTATCTAGTGAAATGAGGAGAATGAAGCTATATTTGATTAGTTGAACAGAAATAATTGGTGGTACTTCTTACGGCATCATTTCAAGTCATTTTTCAATCATGTCTGACTCTTCATGATCCCATTAGGAGTTTTCTTGGTGAAGATACTAGAGTGGTTTGCCATTTGTTTCTCTAGCTCATTTAACGGATGTGGAAATTGAGGCAAACAGGGCTAACTGACTTGCCCAGGGTTACACAGCTAGTAAGTGTCTGAGGTCAGATTTGAACTCAGGTCCTTCTGACTCCAGGCCTGGTACTCTATCTGCTGTGCCACCTAGCTATCCTTATTGCATCATAGAGCTGGAGTTGAGAAACATGAATTGAAACCCCAACTCTGATGCTTGCTAATTTTGTGACTTTGGTCAATTATCTTCCCCTCCTGAGGCCTCTATTCCTCCATCAGTAAAATGAGAGAAGGGCTCTCTAGGGTCCTTTCAATCTTTAAATTTATGCCCTTGTGATCTGTAAAATTGAACTAACAATGCTTATACTACCCACCTCACAGGGTTGATGAGAAGAAAGTGTTTTATAAACCTTAAAGCACTCTGTGGAGAAATATCAGTGGGTATTTTGTTATGTGAAGTCCACCCCCTTTCATATATGGTAACAGCAGAAAGTAGTAGAATGTGTGAAGACACTTTCGTCAGATTTTTTTTTTGTGGGTTTCACCCTCCTTTCTTTTTCCATACAGTCACTCTCAGCACAGCACTACGACTCGTCAGCCCTCAATGACTCTGCAGCGAGCCATCTCCCTGGAGGGGTAAGCAAAGCATTCCAGAGCTCCCATTCTGAGGGAACTCCACAATTCTGAGCACGGTGGGGCTGCTCAGATGAAGAGCAGACAGACACATCTTGTGAGGGCTTGATGCACATATATAAACACTAATCACAAACCCAAGGGTGGGCTTTAAACAAATTAAAATTAGTAGTGGTGATTCTTCTTATTAATTCACCCACTACTGTCCGATAGATGTTTTGTGTTTGAAATAAATATTCCATCTTTGAATAGACTCATCCCAATAGGGCTATGGAGTTAATTATTCATGGCAGAACCCAAAAGTAGAATGGGCTTCCTCAAGAGGTAGTTAGCTACCCATCACTATTCATTGTTGGTGGAATTGTGAACTGATCCAACCTTTTTGGAGAGCAATCTGGAATTATGCCCAAAGAGGCTGACTGACTTCTGGTCGAAAAGGTGACAGAAGACTTTGTTTTCAGCTATGGGTTGGGTTAGATGATCTTTGAAGACATGTTCCAATTTCTGAGATTGTGTTATTTTGTAATTCTGTGATTCTAGGTTTGACTAGAATCAATTAAGCAAAGATTTATTACATTGCTATTGTATTCCAGTTACTGGGCTAGAAACTGAAGACAGAGAGACAAAAATGAAACCATTCCTGCTCTCAAGGAGCTTACATGCTACTAGAGCAGTCGTTTTTAATCTTAACTTAGGGTTTTAAAAGATTTGAAAACTGTGTATCGATATGACTGGTTTCTCTTTGTGATCTTATTCATTTTATTTTATTCACTTAAGAACATTATTTTGAGAAGAGGTCTATGGGCTTTATCAGATTGCCAAAGGGGATCATGACCCCAAAATATTTAGGAACCCCTGTACTAGGGAGCTACAACATCTACAAAAATAAGGAATATTCAGGAGAGAGTGAGCATTAGATAATGGGGAAATTGTGGAAGGTTTCACAAAATAATAGATGGCAGCTGAGTTGGACCCTGAAGCAAGGTAAGAATTCTGAGAGGCAGAAATAAAGAAGGCATCCATGCTGGACATGAGATGCAAACTGTGCAGAGCTAGGGAAATGGGAAATGGAGTATGGAATTAACAAAACAATTGGAAGTCCCGTTTGGCTGGAATGTGAAAAGGGAGATAAAATTATATTAGGGTAGGAAGCCAGCTTGTAGAGACCTTAACTGCCAAGTTCAAAGTTTTATACTTTATCCCAGAGTTGGCAGGGAGCCACTGGAGATTTTTGAGTAGGGAAATGGCATAATCAGTCCTGTGATTCAGGAATGATAGCATGACGTAGTAGATAGGCTGCTGAACTGGGAGTCAAGAAGACCTGAGTTCAAATCCTACCTCAGATACTTCCTAGATATGTGACTAAGTCATTCACTTAATCTCTATGCCTCAATTTCATTATCTATAAAGTGAGAGAGTTGGATTCAGTGACTTCTAAGTTCCTTGTCTGATCTAAATTTTATATATGTGTGTGTATATGTGTATATATTATATACATATAAATTTATAAATTTGGGATTATTGAGAGGATGGAATGCCAAAACAGAACAAACAGACCAAATAGGAGGCTATTACAAGAGTATATGTGAGAGATGATGAGGGCAGTGGCTAAAGTGTAGTAGGATGACCTGAGTCTTCCTAAGTAAACCTGAGACATTTACTATATGTATGACCTAGATAAGTCACTTAACCTCTGTCTTCCTCAATTTCCTCAACTGCAAAATAGTGATCATAATAATATTGCCTACCCCACAGGATTGCTATGAGGTTGAATAAGATAATGTTAGTAAATAGCTTTGCAAACTTTAAAGTGATATATAAATGCTATCTCTTACTATTTTTAAGGAGGATGGTACAAGAGATGTTATGGTACAAGATTTGGCAAGACTTGACAATTGATTGTGTAGAGGTAGTCAAGGATGACTCCAAGGCTGTGAACCTCGGTGTCTAAAAGGATGGTTATGTCCTCAATGGAAATAACAAAGTATAAGGAAAATGTATGTTTAGAGGAACCTAATTGGTTACCTTTTGGATTTATTATATATTTGGATATATTAAATTTTAGATATCAATATCAAGGAAAAATATCCAGCAGTAAATCATTATTGCTTGACTGTCTACATATATGTATATGCATATATATGTATGTATATGGGTATATGTATGTTTGTATATATGTATTTTGTACATATGCATATGAAAAGATCTGGGTGCTGCTGACTTACAAAGATGCTTGTATCCATGAAAAGTTAGGAGATTTCTAACAGATCAAGTGTAGAGAGTGAAAAAAAGAGATTCTAGGACCGAGTCCTAGGTAAAACCCATGCTAAGGGGAAAGGAAATCAATAATTATCCAACAAGGGGGAAAGGGAACATGGGGAAGCCTTACTGGTAGGAGGAATACAAGAAGTGAGCAGTTTCACAGAAGTCAAGGGAGGAGCCCAGAAGGAGGTTTGGAACAATGTCAAAGATAGCAGAGAGGTCAAGGAGGATGAGAACTGACCAAAAAAATAAACTATTGGATTCATCAGTTAAGAAAGCATTCCTAATCTTGAAGGGAACTTTTCTTTGTCTGGTGGTGGGGTTGGAAAGTAGAAAGGACTGGAAAATGGAGGAAGTGGAGGTAGCAAATGTAGACAGTTATTTCTGGGAGCTTGCCTTTAAAAGGGGAAAAAAAGATATAAGGTAGTACTTGAAGAAATGGCAAGGTCAAGTGAAGATTTTTTTTAAGGTTAGGGTAAAAGTCTGAGTATTTTAAAGGCAAAGCAAAATTGAAAATGAGAGAGAATGAATGATGGGGCTCCTTTCTGGAAAATGTGGAATGGCGTGGGATGGCATGGGATCAAGTATACAAAGTAGAGGGCAGATAAGGTAGATGTTGGAGGTGATCCAGGACTGGCATGATATGGAGAATAGTAGAACAAAGAGGCAAGGGTGGAAGATAGCATAATTATTATGTAGTCAAGATGTTGAGAAAGGAAAGACAGTTGGATTGGTACAACAGAAAAGGAAGGATGAACGGGAGGTTGAGGATAAAGAAAAGGTTTTAGGGGAGTGAGGCAGAGGAAGAGATAGAAAGTCAGGAGATTATGATCAGAGATGATAATTTCAAAGTTCAATATCATGGAGGTTAAACAATTATAGGTAATTGTCAGGGGTTCCTGGAAGTGTCCTGAGATAGGGCAAAGTTATAGATTGTGGAAGTTGAACAAGTTGGTGAACTAAGAGACCTGGATGTTTGAGGGTTCATAACAATATATACTTATTAGATAGATAGGTAGATAGATAGATAGATAGATAGATAGATAGATAGATAGATAGATAG